TCAACAAGCTTTTCCCCAGTCATGACAGTTTACTATACAGTATAGTTACATGGTCAAGGTATGGTGGTATGAGAAAATTACTGACTGGGAAGTTTGCATTGTTTTTCCTAGAGAACAAGACTGCCAAACTCAAGTCTGAAATACAGTAGAATACGTTTTGTCCCTGACTAACTACATGAGGCATTTACATACTCCCCTCAATCACTCCTGCCTTATATGAAAAGATGACTTCAATGTACATTATCTATTGGCCCTTGAGTGTTGATTTCTGTACTCAAGTATGTGCTAATTTCTGCATTCAAGAAATAGTTAATCCATTATGTTGTCATTTAATTAACTATGGTAATTTGTTATGTTAATTCATGATGTTCTAGAAATTAACCATTAATTATTTCCTGATTGCATCAAATTGGTAATTGTGTTGTATATTTACATTTTTAAAGTTTTATATGCCTGTTGTTCTCCTTGGAAGTGAAAACTTCACATAGCTAGAAGCAAGTTTAGGCTCCTCAAGGTCATGTCCCACTTTGCCTGCACACCACAGTCTCAAGTTTTATTTCTTAACTTCCTGGGCCAACTCCACATGTAATGTGTAGAGAATTATGTGTTTGAACTCCATCACCTTATTTCTCTGGCCTCAGAAACTTGGCACTAGTAGTTTAGAACATGAAGAAAGAAAATATCATGTTAGCTCAGATTATTGATAGTCGTATATTTTATATTTTGACTTACAAATCATCTTTATATTTTTCTTCCAGAAGCCCAACCTTAGTAAAAAATATACCTACCAGTTTAGGCTATGGAGCAGCTCTTAATGCCAGTTTGCAGGTAATATAATTAAGTGCACTTTTCCATTTTTATTGTATTTGAATGTTTTGGCCTTTTTTTGTATGTCTTTATATGTAGATAGGGTTGTGATTGTTCTTAATAGTTGGTTCATCCAAGTAAGTTGTAGAACCTAGTACTGTGGAAAGCACTGGTTCTCATTCAAGCTACTTTTGATGTGAAGAAGCAAGAAGGACACCCTGTGGCAAAATCTGGAACACTCGGTTTTCCTGCAAATGCTGCATTGATAGAAGCTTTTGCAAATGCATGTGGCTATGCATTAATATTTATCCAGGCTGTCATAAATGATTTCACATCTTAGTGTTGGGGAACATGGTGCTTGTGGCAAAAACTTTAAAGTTTAATTATAATATATAATTTTTATGCAGAGGAGGCAAATGTCAGGACTTCTTTATTTTGAGTTAAGTTCTGGTCATTTTTAAAAAGCAGAGCAACTGCTTATATTATCCCAGAGTATTTCACTCTATGTGAGGACTCTGTTTCATTATAAGAAAGGTTGAGACAATGGTGACAAAGTTGTCTTCAAGAGCTGTTGTTTTTATTTGCACGTCGCACTCAGTTTCCTTGCTATCCCTGCCACAAGTGGCCATTAAGAATTTTTGTCATTCCCACACAATTCTTTTAAATGCTTCTAAAATATCCATACCGCAGTATGAATGCTTTAAAAGAAGACGTATATTTTTAACAATTATTTTAAAAGACATTTTAAAAGTTGTTCTACACCCTCTTCGTATTCACTAGGCTGCCTTGGCAGAGAGCAGTTTGCCTTTGCTAAGTAATCCTGGACTGATCAATAATGCATCCAGTGGCCTCCTGCAGGCTGTCCACGAAGACCTCAATGGTTCTCTGGATCACATTGACAGCAATGGGAACAGCAGTCCGGGCTGCTCGCCTCAGCCTCACATGTAAGTGCGCCCAACAGACTCCCTGAAGAGAGAACCTGTATTCATGTGCTCCTCAACTTCAGTATTCCTCTGAAATTTGTAATGGTGTATAAGTTAAACATACAAGTTTAAAAGGAGTTAAACTGTATCATATTTGTAATATGAAAAAGGGTGTCAAAATCTGTTTCAACATATCTTTTGGATTCTACCAAATGCCCTGTAATGATTGTTCTAGCAACCCTCTACAAATTCCTGGGGGTACTAACATTCTGTTGGACATAAAGCAGTGTCTAAGATTAATCTACATCTTCTGGGTCATTATCACAGTTTGGTTTGTGTGGTACAATAAGAATATTCATGATGGAATAAGTTGTCGTAACTTTTACTACTATTACAGGTCTCTAAACCATTTATGAACTGTAGTCAAGATATTACCCATTTTTATAAACCGTAAAATGCAAAGTTTAACTGTTACCCACAGTTTACATAGACGCTAGTAAAGTGTAACTTTTTGCCTGTCTTATAAATCAGTGTAATTACATATTCAACTTTAATTACTGGTGCGTCTGTATTGGCAAGGTTTATATGTTATATTTTATGCAAGACTACGATTCCTATTAATATTTAGCAGCTAACTATATCATTAATTACTCTAAAATCTTTCCGCTACCATCTTTTTAATGGAGCTGAGAGAGTAGTAGTATTAAAAATTGATGTATTGTGGATTTCAGAAATGTGTATGACACTATAAAAAATGCTGGCCTTATTGAGTACTATCTAGTGTAATTTCTTGTTTACCAAAAAGTATTGACTAACGCTGGTAGAACTTAGAATTTGGGTGAGAAAAAATTGCAATCTGAATAGTGAAGGATGTATACTGATCAGTTGTTGGGTGGAGTTGTCAGTTACGCGTGTGTTCCTAGAGGTAAACATCAAATACTGCTAATTTCAAGTTATTCAGGTAAGATCAGTCCTTTCACTCATTTTGTATATTTTCTTCTTCTATTTTTATATGAAATACCTAGTCAAGGGTCTGGAAGAGGAAAGGTGACCTTTTTATATGTCCATTTTCATGTGACCTTTCACAAGACACTGTTTTTGTTGACTTTTTAATCACTTTCTTCTGTGTGACATATTAATGTCTCTAAGATCATATGCCTAATTGCTTTATAGCACTTTTACTCTATCACCTTTGCGAAAAACACACTGTGAAAGTTAATGTGTTTTATCAGGTTCCAAACCATTACTTTTTCAAAATGGAAAAATTTGTCTTTTGGAAGTGTCTTTAGATGTATTAAATAATACAAAAGAAGTAATAAAACTCGAAGTAGAAAGAACATGAATATATGCTCTTGAGAGTAGCAGTACTCTAAAACAAGGGAAGGGAGCAGTCAGACAGAGTTTTTATATCCCTGCTTTATCCTATCAGCCATGCAGTGGTAGCTTGAGGCCTTTTACTTTCAGCGGTTCTCCTGAGTATGCTAATGCTCACTCCCTGTATAAAATGCTAAAACAATAAAACTTTAAAGAGCAAACAAGAGTTAGATCCTGTTTTCTCCCTTTACAAAAAGACCTATTTCAGAGAAATGAAAGACATTTATAATAAAAGTGTTTAAGCTGTTGGTGCAAACTCCCTGTGCCCATGTGCAGTATATAGGGTGTCATAAACCCTGCAAAGAAGAAATTTTTAAAATACAATTGTCCAGTGCTAAGCATATTAAAATAAAAATAAATGATTTAATAAAATCGTTCATTATATGTTATATTTTAGAACCTGAAATACTAATTGTGCTAAATTATGGTATTGCTTCAGTTAATGGTATTTTTTCATTTGGCAATTGATATTTGCTATTTTTCATTTTATTATTATAAGTCTAATGATGACATTTCTCAGAGAAATAGTAGTATATGTAAAACAACATATAAACATTGTATATTTAAAGACTGATGTACTGCCACTATGAGTTTAAAAAATTATTCATAGTCAGTGCCTCATATGTTTTATGCTTATGTGAATTAGTACATGTGAAAAATAAATATATTTTCCATAGACAAAAGGGAAGCTTCTGTTTGCCTGTTGGAATAGATTTCAGAAAAGATAAAAATTAGAAAAGAGGGCCAGCGCCGCGGCTCACTAGGCTAATCCTCCACCTAGCGGCGCCGGCACACCAGGTTCTAGGCCCCGTCGGGGCGCCAGATTCTGTCCCGGTGGCCCCTCTTCCAGGCCAGCTCTCTACTGTGGCCCGGGAGTACAGTGGAGGATGGCCCAAGTCCATGGGCCCTACACCCCATGGGAGACCAGGATAAGTACCTGGCTCCTGACATCGGATCAGCGCAGTGCGCCGGCCGTGGCAGCCGTAGGAGGGTGAACCAATGGCAAAAGGAAGACCTTTCTCTCTGTCTCTCTGTCTCACTGTCCACTCTGCCTGTCAAAAAAAAAAAAAAAATTAAAAAAGAGGCCAAATCTTGTCTTTTCCTAAATTACATAAATTACACTCAAATGTTAATTATCATGAAAAATATTGAGTCATTATTCATTTTTGGAGTCTGTCTCTGCTGCTAACGTTAACTTTTTTGCTTATTCGATGTCTAATATTGATGGGCCGTCACTTCATTACTCTGTATCTTAATTTTTACAGAGTTTTAAGATGCTTGTACTTAAAAAATGTTAAGCCATTTTGTGTGCATTATGAAACAAAGTAAAAATATTGATTTAGGTCTCATTCAAAACTTGGTTGCATATAATTGAATACATCCCATAATAATTTGTAAATTGAATAGAAGTTAGCAAATGTTTATAAAACACGTAACTAGTATATTTATGTGTCCCAAAATGAAATTGCAATCCTTGTTGTTGTAGAGGGCTGGTTATGTGGATGGATTGAAAACAATAGATGTTAGGTCCTAATGGTGTCAGTTTATGGGCTCTGGTGCCATATTGTCAGGATTGCAGTCCCAGATTCATCCCTTCACTGTAGAGTGGGAGTGGGCAAACTACTTAACATTGCTTTCCTCTGTTTTCTCAGCTGCAAATGAGATAAGTAATAATATTCTCACAAAGTGAGTGCCTAGAGCATAGTAACTGCTCCTTGTGACTCTCCTTCAATTGTGTACTAGGTACTGGGTTATATTACCACTTATCATACCTCATTACTGGCAGTGAGGCCATAACCATTATAAAAATAGCTTTGTATTTATTACTTTTTTAAAAAAATTATTACTTTTAAAAATAGATTTATTTATTTATTTGAAATAAATAAATTACAGAGGCAGAGAGAGAGAAAGATCCTCCATCCACAGGTTCACTCCACAAATGGCCACAACAGCTGGAGCTAGGCCAATCCGAAGCCAGGAGCCAGGAGATTCTTCTGGGTCTTCCACATAGGTGCAAGGGCCCAAGGGCTTGTGCTGTCCTCCACTGCTTTTCCAGGCCATAGCAGAGAGCGGGATTGGAAGAGGAGTAGCTGGGACTCGAACCAGCGTCCTTTTGGAATGCCAGCACTGCAGGCAGCAGTTTTTCCCACTACGGCACAGCACCGGCCCCTATTTATTACTTTTTAAAACACTAAGTTTGTGATTGTTTTCCTTGACGATCCCTTTTCTTTTCCTCATGATTCCTTTTCGAATGCATGAAGAAGACCAATAAATATGAAATAATATGGCATAGGTATTTACTCTAGGGAGCACATTTTTCCAAGTCAGTATGATAAAATATTTTTGAGAAAAGAAAACGTTACGTGAAGTGGTAGGCAATGAACAATTCAAATAAGACCAAGAATCAGGGACTTATAATATGTGTCTAAGAAACACTGAGTATTAGGTTTGAAGGAATCTAGGAAACACACAGGAAAATAGAATTTAACATATGTGAGTTGTAACCAGATTGTCAAGCGACTTAAATGGGGGTGTGTTAGTCATTGTGGAGCTCTCATTAATGTGATGCACTTAGGCTGGACACAACCAGAGCTATGCTTCAGGAAGAGTCATCTGAAAATGTGCTGAAGAGCTATGACTTGATCAAAGTCATGGATAGGAGGATATTCTGGACCTGGAAGAGACCAGCGTCAGAAGGTGAATCCTTGCATTAGTGTCTGACTTAAGTACAAAACTAGGAATGGAGAGCAAAGAATCGATATAAGAAGTGCATTGCAAAGAAGTTCCAGCACAATACAACCAGTACATGCTGGGAAAAAGAAGGAAGTCAGGCAAAGCCATGCACTGTAGTTCCTTCTGCAGCTCTGGCGCTGCTCCTGTGCTCCTTTGGTACCAACCTGGCACCTCTTTTGTGAGCAGCAGCCCAGGAGACTCTGGAGCTCGCACAGCATATGAAAACTCAAGGGAGGAATCACAGCTCCGAGCAATCATCATCTTAACTCGAAGGTGGTGGGACAGGATGGTTCTGTGGTACAGTTTAAGACTAAAAGCCACTTAGTAAACTAATGAAAGCCTGTTGTGAACGGCAGGATATGCCAATGAGAGATCAGATTTTAGTTTGTTGGACAGCCAATCAATAAAACAGACACACCTGCACAGTTGGAAATGGAGGATAAAGATATAATTAATGTGTTCCAACAGCAGATAGGCAGTGTCTACCTGAAAGGGAACTGGCTACCTTGCCCCAACCTCTGTTCCTTCAGACCTGAAATACATTTTCAGTTAGAAAGCTGCAGTTCGTTTCCATCACATCCTGACTACAACAAAAAAATAGTTTTATTTGTTCTTTCCTTTTCCCCTCCCCTATTCCTTATTGTACATAAAGTCACTTGTGTATGTCCCCAAGCATATTGCATTTTTTTAACTAAATGGCCACTGGTAAATTTTGATTGACATCAAATGAAGATGGAATGGGGAAAAATATTGGTTCTGTGAACCAATCCATTAGGAACATACTCATTCAGCTTTTTATTCCACTAAGTTATTTTGCTCTCTCTGTTTTAACAAAACAACACAAAAATCCTTGCATACCTTGTTTGATTGGTGAATTGTAATGATGTTCATTAATCATTGTAAAACTTAGGACA